CAGTGCTATTGTGCTTTCATCCAATTGTTTTTTTTTTTTAAATCCCATTGACGTTAGAAACGTCTTTTTCAAGGGAGTCCTGACGAAGAGGCAGCAAATTTACAGATTGAACAGAAATACATTAACTTTACATTAAAATGACAGGTACATAATAAAGACTAGGTGCTTTTTCGCTCCAAAAAATAACTAACTAAAAATATGCCTTATTAAAAGAGAAGTAACCCAATTTAAATTGTTATTTCCTCACAAGTTTACCAATAAAAGGTCTGAATGTGAGGGAGTCATGTACCACTTCAAAGGCATCCCCTCATGAGTGGGCACTATTGGTAGGGTTTGAGGCACCTTGTTATGATTTAAAAAAAACAACATTAACTTTGTCTTGTCAACATTGGTAAAAAATTTAAGATTAGGCCTGGTTCTGCTGGGGGTTTCTTCCTGTTAAAAGGCAGTTTTTTCCTCTCCACTGTCGCTACAAGCATGCTTAGTGAGAGGGACTGCATTCGAGTCAATGCAATCAACTGGTTTTCCTTAGATAGAAAACTTTGAATCAATTTGACTGTATGATCTGGTGAACTGTAACGTGCCTTGAGATGACGTGTTGTGAATTGGCGCTATATAAATTAACTGAATTGAAATTGAATTGAAACTGAATTGAATTAATAAATGAATACTGTACAGCAACAAAGGCTTTCTGTGGGGACTTAACAGCCTGTTGAAGAGATGACCCAAAGCAATAAATAATTGTATTATCAGCATAAAATGCCTACTAGCATAAGAGAAATAAATTAGATAAATAGATAAATTAGAGGGACCACAAAACAGACCCTTGTGGCATACCCTTATAAGCATTAACAATAACAGATTGATTTAGCCTCTCAAAACCCACTGGGTCGCACAACACATTTTAAAGCGTTTACAAATAATAACTCGGAATGCATGAAAATTACACCAGAAAAATGTTTACCAATTTAGACTTGTTAGCTTAGATTCTCCAAAATTCAACCACCTAGTTCTATTTTTGGACACAGTATCAAAGCACAAATAACACAGATATAGCAGCATGTCAAAATGTACCATGACAAAGCAGCCACAACAAGCACGCATGTCTTAATAACTACCGTTCAAAAAAGACCTATTATTTTCGATTAAAAAAAAACAACAACTTTGAGTCGTGTTTGAACTGATGCAGCTTGGGCTTGATGCAGCACAGGTGTTTTTCTCTATCAATTTTTATGTATATATTCAGAAACTATAAGATGTTAGCTTTCAAATAATGTATCACACATGTAACTTGGGCTTACAGTTCCTGAGTTATTTGCTTTTCCATTTGGGTATGCAAAATAAGTGAGAATTCCCCAAAATGAGGTGGATATTCAGAGGATAAATTCAAGCACAGGACTGTTTTCCACCAAGTGCTACAACTTTGTCATTTATCACCATCATAGTAGCAGTGATAGTGCTTTTTTTCCCCAGAAGACTGATATTTGGAAAGGATTTAATTTTAATAGAGTAACTATTTCAATTGATCACAAACAAAAGACTTCAGAATTTTGGATGAAACACAACAATTTGAATTTGGCCTGTAATTTGTAAGAACTGATGGATCAACTCATTTTTATAAAGGGAGGAAAAAAGCGGACTTCCAAAAGCGGTCATGTGGTATGGCAGGGTGCGAGGCTCTGGACCTCATCGATTTTGGACTCCTCCCTAAATGAAACAGGCCTCGATACGTGCTTTGCGGAAACGCCCCCTCCACTACTTGACACACGTCTCAAAGCCTCCACCTCATCTCATAACTCACTACCTAACACCCCTCTGGATTTCTTTTTGGACCTCTGATCTCCTGGCTCTGACTAACATGCAGATCTTCGACACCGGCTTTGGCTTTGCCTGTCCTCCAACCTCCAGGACGTCTTGGACACAGACTGAACTATAAGACCAGGTTAGTTACTCACATGTCCATTATCATCCTCCACCAGATAGACACTCTCACTTCCGCAGAGGTTTCTGCCTTAAATGCCAATGCCGTTCACTGCAGATCAGTTTTGTAATAAACTTTTTGAGAAATCTCTGTCTGCCTCAAACATTACGTCCACTTGTTCTGAGCCTGACAATAAGTAGTCCAATGTAATCTAACTGATCTAAAATCTGTTTTAATTAACAAAGTGCCTCTTTTGAAGTAGGCTACTTTTCAACCTGTCCTGATCTAATCTAGTTTTCCACTACTTCTACCTGTTTTTGTCATCTATATTACCAAGTATCTAACCTCCAGTTTCACTAGTATGTTGTATAGATAAGGTTATATACAATCATGAACACTCATTAACTAACATTTATTTGAGTTTAAATTAAATTTAATATATGCAACCAGAAAAGGCTTCTCAAATTGGATTTCTAATTATATATTTGAAATGACTCCTCTGGTCCTCCATACCCGTTACTTTCGATTCAGGAGATCATCTTGGGCATAAAATGACAGTTCATTGCATTTTTGTTAGAAATAGGTACTAAACCACAAAACGCATTAGGGGCAGAGGAAGCGCAGAAAAAGAAGGCTGAAACACCTCTAGTGTATGCAAAAAATCTTGCAAACTTTTTTGAGATACACCATAAGTACTTTTTAGAAATTTTATCTTTTAGAAATAGTTACTTCCTTGAGTGAAGAATTGACTGCCCACAATAAAGTGAGACTTCTTGTTTAAATACAATCTTTGTTGTTATATATATATATATATATATATATATATATATATATATATATATATATATATATATATATATTTATATATTGTTTTCTTCCATTGAGCAAGTCAATATACCGCATCAAACAGACATGACCTTCTGTAAATTTTGGTTTTATTGAGGAAAAGAAATGTAGAATTTCTGGGTCTTTAAAATACCAGAATATGCAACCAGCTTTGTATCTATGTCTATTTCACAACATATTTTTTCCCTAACAAATTAGATATGTTGATTCCTTTTTATAAGTGTTTTACTCTTGATTAATTTAATTTGTTTAATTAATATATTTTTAATTAAATTAATTTATATGAAACAGCACAACAAAATGTGCGGATATATATTCTGGTGTGTTGGGAGTCTCCATTCATTATCTAACTAATTATGATGGGCTGCCATGAAGTAACGAAAAGTGTCTTGAAAGGTTTGACCTTTTCAGACAAAATTCCAATTTAGATAAATTTTATTTAGATTTTTTTTAATGGGCGCTTATACAACTCAACTTCAGAATACAAAAAAAAAAATAAAAAATACAATCAGTGTTATGGTCTTGGTAGGCTACAACCTTCCTCTTGCACTTATAACTTTGAAAAGCGCTGCCACTCCGTTTAAAAAAATAATAATAATAACTCGACGGTTCAATCTATCTCTTACAGAAGAGGATTAGGACCAATGGGAAAAAAAAGTTAACTGATTTTTACATTTTATTTCAGTATAATAATTCTGACATTAATCTCAGAATTCTGACAGCTAACAAACATGTTAGCATCAGGCTGCAGACATGTCTGTGTTAGAGACTAAACTAGCTCTCTTGTTTTAATCACCTTCTGCTCTTCCATTAATGAAATAGCATCACTGGGGACCCCTAAGGCACATAAAAAGTCACCTTATTCAGCAATTTTCCACCAATGTGTTACTGGCCCTCCCAAACAACTCGCATATTTGTCAGTGAAGCTGCGTGCTCCCACATCTCTTCCTTCATGGTGCCCACCTACAGCAAGATCCAAAATTCTGAGATTAAAGTCAGAATTCTGTAGCCTGATAAACCAGACTAAATGGGAGATAAAAGGTATTATTTACAACTCACAGGCAAAAATGATTTTGGCCACTGGTGGGTGGGGCTAGTTTACTAGGCTAAGAATTCTGAGAAAAAAGTCAGAATTCCAAGATTAAAGTCTGAATTCTGAGATTAAAGTAATAATTCTGAGAAAAACGTCAGAATTGTGAGAAAAAGTCAGAATTCTTAAAAAAAAGTCAGAATTCTGAAATTAAAGCCAGAATTTTGAGAAAAAAGTCAGAATTCCGAGATGAAAGTCAGAGTTCTGAGATTAAAGACAGGATTCTGAGGTTAAAGTCAGGATTCTGAGAAAAAGGTCAGAATTCTGAAATTAAAGTCAGAATTCTGAAATTAAAGACAGGATTCTGAGATTAAAGACAGAATTCTGAGAAAAAGGTCAGAATTCTGAAATTAAAGTCAGAATTCTGAGATTAGTCAGAATTCTGAGAAAAAAGTCAGAATTTTGAGATTAAAGAAAGAATTCTGAGAAAAGGGTTAGAATTCTGAGAAAAGGGTTAGAATTCTGAAATTAAAGTCAGAATTCTGAGATTAAAGTCAGAATTCTGAGATTAAAGTAAGAATTCTGAGAAAAAAGTCAGAATTCCGAGATGAAAGTCAGAATTGTGAAAAAAGTCAGAATTCTTAAAAAAAAGTCAGAATTCTGAAATTAAAGTCAGAATTCTGAGATGAAAGTCAGAATTCTGAGATTAAAGAGAATTCTGCGAAAAATGTCAGAATTCTGAAATTAGTCAGAATTCTGAGATTAAAGTCAGAATTCTGAGATTAAAGACAGAATTCTGAGATTAAAGACAGAATTCTGAGATTAAAGACAGAATCCTGAGAAAAAAAGTCAGAATTATGAGATTAAAGACAGAATTCTGAGAAAAAGGTCAGAATTCTGAAATTAAAGTCAGAATTCTAAGATTAAAGTCAGAATTCTGAATTTTTTCTCATATTATACTGATATAAAATTTTAAATCAGTTAACTTTTTTCAGTGGCATTAATCCTCTTCTGTAATCTCTGATCAATGATTTAAATGTGGATTTCTTTCCCGCCGGACAAAACCCCTGAACCTGATTAGGTCAGCCATGCAGATCATGAATAGGAGCGCGAGGAAAATGCATTGTCCGGGCTACTCCAGCGTACTCCGTCATTACGAACCAGCGCTGTGATAGAGCTTGTTTATGTGAAGTGCATGCACCGCCCACACCGAGGTATCTGATCATAGGGGCAGACAGGCAGAGAGTGTAAAATGGCGCACAGCTGTCGGTGGCGGTTCCCTGCTCGGCCCGGAGGGAGCAGCAACTCCGGTACCGGGAGGAGAGCGGGCCGTGTTAGGGTTACCGCATTTTTACGGAGCGTATCGGGAGCCCAGCCAAACGCCGCCGGACTCGGACCCGGGTTTGATGCTGCACTACAGGTTTCTTCGGTTATCAGGAGCAACCTGCAGAAATTTCGGGATGTTTTGGGCGAATCCAGCGACTCTAGTAGTGCAGAGGTAAGCTCAGCACTCAGCGGGTTTAGGAAGCTCCGGTTGGCGGAGCGCCTGGTCCCTGTGAGGAGAAGAGCTAACGGTTACAGCCCCCTTAAAACTTGTCATTGGAAGGATGCTCGGTTAACTTTCACTGAGCTTTTTGGCCTTTAACTCCACTGTTCTATAGTTTTTTAAGGTTTTGTTTTAAATAAACACACTAACTCTACATTTTAGCTCAATCGTTTATATGAATGAAAGTTTCTTTTCGGATGAGGAGAAATGCTACATCCACACAGTTTAGATGGAGCTAACATTACTGTGTTAGCCAAAACCACAGCAGGGAAACCCCCGTATAACACTGTTAATTACATCCCACAGTCATGTTAACATACGGAAGAAACACAAGCTATTATACACCTTAACTATACGTTATTAAATAATATTTGCTAGTTAGTTACTCAGATGAGAAAGACCCATCAGGCTTGAGAATACATTCTCACTCAATGTAAAAGTTAACGTCCCATTTAAGCATATGTTTTACCGGCCTACTGATAACTGGCGTTTAAACACCCAGGTGGAGCATTTATTCCTTATTAATGTCTGTGTAATGCATACATATGTAAGGAAACTTAAAGAAGGAGAGCACAGTTGTGGTTTGTGATGAGCTAACGTGAATTTAGCTGCGTGTAGCGTATTTCTGGGGTGCTTGTTCACTTCACATCTAACCCGTTCACATATTTTCATGAGTTAATCTTTAGCAGCTAAATAGCCCGGTGGTATCAAAATTAGCTTAAAAGGGCTAACTGCATCGAGGTGGTCACCTTTTAAAGACGTCCGCCTGGTTAGCTTCCATGCTAGCTGTTTGTATACCGTAGCCAAAACTACTCCGTGATAAAGTTGTTTATTTTTATGTTGTTATTATGGTTTATAAGTCTACTTTCCATGAGTTCATCCCTACGCAATTGTGTGGAAGCAAAAAGAGGGGTTTAGTAAGCCAGGTTTTTACACAGAAGTTAATGGTTTTGGGATAAGCTAAGAGCTGCCATGCTACAGTGTACGCCACGCTAGCTATCGGGGCTATTGCTGATGCATAGGAAAATGGGAGGTGGACATGTTTTCCCCCTCTCTGTACAGTCAGTACGGAGCTAATATCTGGTTTATTACTCGAGGCGAGGCTGGTGGTTTTATAAACTAGACTATGGATATACCTATAGCCAGTGGGTTAGGAGGATGTGGGCATGTTTTATCGGACGAATGAGGCTTGCTGGTGACGGTGCGCATGCAGGGCTGGCTACAATAACAACGAGCCCCTTGCAGACGGACCGTGTGCGATGTGGGGGTGTGTTCGTGTAAGCGAACTACCATCTTCCTCCCTCATGATGCGCAGCATGCGTTCATTGCAGGAGTACACTGAGTGGGAATGTTTACCACCAGGTTTAGAGATGGATATATCGCCTGTTTTTAACCGAGAGATCAACAATAAGGTACAATAGGTACAATAGATATTTTGATACAAAAAAAACATATATTTATTTTAACCCTTTATAGGGCAATCAGCGAAATACTTAGAAAATCCAAATTTCAAGCCAATTGTGTTATTGGAATCCAGGACAAGATTTGTTACCTTTGTAACATAAAAAAATATGAATATGTTGAATATGCAAAAATAAATGTCAATGTAATAAGAAACGCCAACTTACCCGAATATATTAAGAAAAATAACAAAAGTGCTTCTATAAGAAATTCATGAAAAACTCTCTGAGAGTGAAAGAAACATTTTTTTTGGTCCAATGTAACCTTAGAGGCATTAATGCTGATACCGGCACTTACAAGGCCTATTAACTTTTGAACTTTATTTTTTAACTTATCAATTACCTTTTTACCTTTTTTTTCTTGACTTGTTAACCCCC